ATCCTGTATTTATCTGGTAAATGTCTCAAAGTAGTAAATCTAACCTTATGTTTTAAAAATAAGTAAAAATAATTTTAAAATAAAATAAAACAGCTTGGTTTGAGTTGAGTAAAATCGATGCATGTTTCAGAAAACTATTGTAAAAATAACTTCAAGATATGAAAAAAAAATAAAAAAACGTGAAAGAATGATACAGCAAAACTAAGGTTCATTAACAATTTCTAAAAGTTATTGTTAAATTAAAAAAATTGTTAAATAAAAAATCTTCAATCGAAAATTTAAAAGTACAGATTAATATTAAGTACAAAGCGCTTAAAGCTATTGCAATCACTGCATAGATTTAATTGATCTTAACACTGTTATTGATGAAAGTTTTGATTAAGCCAGCACAGTTATGCTTCCTTTCTGATAACGGAAATTTTTTGCGTCGTTATTAATTTTAGAAAATATTCATGGCGACGATATACGGAAGAAATGTAATAGTTATTCCACAGGAAATTTTATTCATTATAAAAAAGCCGTGCTCTCTTCTACTCATAAATCACATTTTTAAATTTAAAGATAAGTCACACTTATCGTTTAATTTACTCATCCCAAGAAAATAGTATATATTATACATCGAAAAGCACTGATTAGTCGCACCTATTCGTAATTTATTTGTTTGTGGGCTCTACTCCGGTGCACGTCTCTCTCTAAATACGGCAGTGATGTCACACACGCGACACGTAGTAACACTTGAATCTACTTTGTTTTTCGTCAGTGACTCTTCAGACGAACACTTACGCTGTTATATTCTAGTATTTTTATCAAAATGTCCACGGAAAAGTTTAATGATGGACCGTCAGGTCTAGTAGGCTCAGGTGTGAAATTAACATATCTGTTTGAAGATGCAGTTTATGCGGGTCATCAGATTACGTCTCTCAGTAACATATCAAGAAAGTTGGATGTTGAATTAAGCTCTCATTCGTCATCAAAATTCAATGCTAAAGTAAGGCCATGAGCTATGATACTCAAATATTAATTCATTATACCCTCCGCCAAAAGACGATGTTTCATACCTGTTTTCAGGAACGCACTTGTCGATATATCTATAGAAAAAAAAAAAAAAAAAGAAAATCTAAAGACGTAATAAAACAATCGTATTTTGTCAAGAGTATGGCAACTGAAATTCTCGTCTTGTTATTTTACACGTATCTCGTTCCATTTGTTTCTCTCTCCTCCTCCGAAAGTTGAAGGGTTAAAGCGAAATGCACAGATGCGACTTGACGTACGAGCCAAACCCCGCGTTGTGCAGAAGACCTTACACCCTGATAATCGAGAAAAGCCTCATAAAAAAGCCAAACTTGGGCGGCTGGAGAGACAGGAAAAGCGGCGTCGAGTACCGAAATGGGGACTCGCAAACGGGACCGGCGCCCAAACGAGTGCCCTGGGAGAAGACGTGCAGCCGCAAGGTCCAGACCTCCGTGCAAGTCGACCGAGCGTGTCAGTCAACCTACAGCCAAGCCACTCAGATGTGGCGGTGAGTCGACGCGCTTCGCACACGGTTACCGTGATCGCCGAGACGTTTGAGAAATGATCGCCCGAAACTCGCAGCCGAGATTGTTACGTGGCAGGTGTCTCCGACGATTACGTGGCAGCCAAGGCGTACGAGACTTTCGAGGAGGCGCGGGCGCGATTGGATCTCGACAGCCGAGCTCGCGTCATCCAGAGGTGCTACAGGGCGTTCAAATTCCTGGGATACGTACGAGAGTGCGCGCGAGTCTATCGGGAATTGCAAGCTGAGTGCGACAGGATACAAGAGCTCAAGTATTCGCTGCGCAGGTGGGTACTTTTGCAAAACATGTTTTTATGACGTTTGGTTATTTGCTATTCAACTTTATCGGGATGGTGCGTTGGAACCTGAAAATCGGTAGCGGCAAGGGCTCGACGTCTCCTTTGTAAGCGAGAGAATGAATAAAGTTGCGTTGAAAAGAATGTTTTTTCCCACGGTTGAGCTGAATGGGTTTTATGCGTATACTTGTGAAAACCATACCAAAGGGTCCGATCGAGTAATTACGCGAATTAAAGCCCGTTTGTACGATATTCAATAGGAAAAATAAAAAAACCACCTACCGAATTTCAAGCACTTTAGTGATTTTTGTTTGCACTTCTGCGTTATAAAATTTTTCCCAAAACTCCGTACGGCAAAAATAATATTAAAAAAACTCGTTTGTTTTGCTATTTCCCTGCTGAAAAAATAATTTGCTCGTGAATGAAACGGAAAAAAGCATCCGAGGATTATTTGTAATACCTATTCTACCTCTTCATACTTGACCAACTAAAACAAAACCCGTGACGCAAAGAAAGTCGTATCAGCTTATGCAAATAAAAAACAATACCACGTTAAAAAAAAAGCCCGAAAGCAAAAAATAAGGGTGATTCCTTGAAAAAAAAAAAAAAAAAACTTTCCACCTCGACCTTCCAAAGAGATCGTCGCGAAGCCGAGTGCCGCGCCCTGAACGACCAGAGCACCCCTTTGGGACTGAGCCACCTGCTGCACCGCTTGAAAGCCGAGGAGGACGAGTCGAACTGCCCGGAGAAGGACCGCCACACCCGAGCCCTACGACTCCTCGAGGCGAGGCAGCGCGTCTTCCTCTCCAACAGCCGCAAAAAGCGCGCGGCTCGCGAGGCCCGAGCCCAAAGGTCCCGCGCGCGTTTCCTCGCCCGCCAGTGCGAGCCCAAACGCTGGCTCGATCGCCGCGACCGCGTGGTCGAGATGCTAACTCTGAGGAACCAGGTGGCCATCGAGTGCAGGGACCTCTACGAGAAGCTACTCCAAGACCCGAACGCCGGCCGGATGGAGCTTCTGGTCAAGGTATAGACCTTTTCTGCTTCTCCTTCCCACCCGTTGGGCCACGGTCCACTCGAATCCCTCGTTCCAGACGAAGAGCTCCGTCGAGAAGCACCACTGCCGCGAGGCGAACGCTCTGCGCGACCTGATCGACCAAGAGATCGCCCTGACCTCCAAGGACGTCGGCGCGGCCGATCTGGGGTTCCTCAGGAAGAGAGTCGTCGGTGAATATAACACCCACTTGTCGAAGTAGCTCTGCGAGGGAAAAGCAAACAGCTCTTTGACCCCGTTGTAAGGGGCATGGTACACGGGAGTTTTGCTTTAAGGGGGATATCAATTATTTATCCCTTGTCGGGGGAGCTGTGCGTGTACTCGATGTAAAGTCAATACGCAAAGTTCGGGCTTGGTCAATTTTGAAAAGTAGGCTGCGCTGAATAATACAGGCCTGTTGATCTTTGAAACAGCTACACTGTGATTCCCCTCCTCTCGCCGTTCTCTGCTGTTTATCTTTTACCTTCGGGGGGTGTGCGTTTTGCGTGAATGTATATCTATCGTGAGGGGGACGTTTTTTTTGGTGGGTAGGGGTTTTTTTGAATTTTTTGAGGTACTCGCACAACTGCACCTGCCGGAGCGTCCAGGACGAGTGCCGGGTCGAAAGGTGTGATTACGAGTTTCGGGAGTCGCTGGAGAAGAGCCAGATTTTTTGCGCGAGCTGTTGCAGACTCCGACCGCGGGGCGAATTTCCCGTCACTTCGCGGAGGCAGTCGTTCAACAAATGCTTGGGTAATTATGGAAATACCAATACGAAATTGTAATCATCGGCAAGTAGTGGCTGAACCTCCTAAATATGAAGTTTTTAGCTATGAAAATAAGGTTCAGTTTTAGCCATAATATGGGACATAATAATGGCAATAATTCCCTGAAAAGTAGCTATAAATTACTGGTATTTTTATCGCTTGAAAAAGGAAAGAGGAGAATTTTCGAGAAAAAAAATTGTGTTCAGGTAAATTAGCAATAAATATACCCATCTATCCGATGACAATATGTTTTGCTTCCGTTTTTTGGATAACTTTTTTTTTTGCCAATACTACTATATATTTATAATGTCACTAATTACGTATGTTTTTGAAAGATAAATTCTAGTATAAAAATGACACAATGTAAACAAGTAAATTATTTAAAACCTTTTTTCTTAAATAACGTTTGCATGGTATTTCAGGGTACTTCATAAAATACAATCCAACGTTATGTTTAATTTTATTGTATAGTAAGTAAAAAGAAACACAGTTTGCTTCTTTAAAATAAACTCTAAGATCCGCGTGAACCTGCAATTATATAGCGCATAAAAAGATTTGAATAATTATTTATTCCTACATTTTAATGTTATTTCCATGTTGTCACTTTTTACTGTTGAGAAGTAAAGAAATATCAAATGCAGCCAAGATTATAGCAAATAGTTTTCCTACTTCAAGTTACGCAACTTATCTTGGCTGAATCTAGACACACTCAATTTTAAGTTGGCAATGATGAAAAAAAAAAAAATAAATAAAAAAAAAATATACAAAAAATATTCAGGCTGCGTGCGACTGCAGGACAACTCGAGCATGCCTCTGGACATGGGTCCCTTCGCGAGGCTCCTAAGCGCAATTCGTACAGCTGAGCCCGAAGGTTTGGCCGATGCAATGTCGGTGCCAGACCTGCGACACTTGGTGCTTACCATATGGCACGGGCACTCGGTGCTGAGCGAAAGCTCGGAGCTGGGAGATTTGCGTCTCCCGCGTTACGAGCTCGACCAGCCCTGGAGTCCTTGGAACTGTGTGCTGCTCACGGAGGACGAAGCTGAGGCCCACTGTTGCGTTGGGGGTGGTGGGGGGTACTACTCAGACCATCTCAAACGGAAGATACGCTCGGCCCATCGGGTCGCGAGGATGGACTTTAGGTGGGAGTTTTTTTTTTCTTTCTTTTTTTTTTTTTCAATAACAACAACAACAACAATAATAATAATAACAATACCAGTAACAATAACATTTTCTTGCAAGTTAAAAATAATAAGTTAACGTTATAGGAAAATCTCATTGAAACTATATATTACTCATTTAATTTTTTACAACATCTGTGCATCATACTCATTTGAATTTTTCTTGTTAAGATTACCCTTATTAATTTTCCATTGTATATTGACTTGATAGTACTACTTAAAACACTTATGAATTCTGCATGACCTCACTTTTAAACCTTGACACGTACGTATACTGTATTGGTTTTATTCGTTGAAACGACAAAATTGTCGTATCTGTTGACAAATATGATTTTTGTTTTTTTTTAAATCTCCATCTCCTTCTTACTTATATGGATGTATATTTTATAGAATGAAATTGTTTTTTTCTAACGAACAGAGGCCTGATTGTATTTGAAGGACGCGTTGATTTGAAGAAAAAGAATGACGGACCGTCAGGAGCAAAAGAAGACGTCTCTACTACGGCAGAAACGGCCAAAACAACGTCAAATACAATAAATTCGTGAAATTTCAGCCAGTACATTTACTTCATCCTAATAACGCGTGCGTTTATTTATAACCGAAAACAATTCCAATAGAATTAGAAAATCATGCTTATGAACTTTTTAATTTTGCGATAACATTCTTTGATATTAATCATAAATTAATTTGGTTGCTTAATGAAAATTTAGTTAAAATACAATATTTTACAATGATTATTATGATGGATTCGTAAACAATAATTAAGTATATTGAGTAGCTCTACAGTTCTGATACTGTAAGTACGCGCTATTGGATTTACAATCAGTGCTACCTCCGTCACTTTGGAAATTGACTTAATGTCTCTAAGTACATTCAGAAGCAATGTAGCAGAAGCTGAAACGAAGCGGTTGAAGTAAAATTATGTGTATCTCACTATTTTTTTTTAAATCTGCCAAGGAACGTTATAAAAGTTTCTTTTAATCAAAAAGTGTCATTTTTTATATTGAATATTAAAAATTAAAATCTAAAAAATTGAACATTAGTTTACAGAACATAGAGTAGTGACATGCAGATTTATTTTAAGGTTTAAGACCCAGTAAAACGGCTATTCAATTAAAGAATATCCCAAAAAATAGAGGACTGCCACAGAGATATTTTTTGAAAAGGCACTCAATGATAATATCAAGAGACGAAATAATTTCACAAGTTCCAACTGATGAGAGACTATAGTTATACCTATAGCTTACCGGCGCAAGGAAAAGAATATGGAAAAAGAAGTAAAAAAAACTAATACGCCGTTCTTAAACGAGAGTACAGGAAAGGAAATAAAATACAGGACTTGTAAACGTCAATTGGATACACTTTATAGGGAGATCTCTGATTTTTCTAACATCATTGAGAGATAAGACAATTAAAATAAATTTTCATAACGCATTATGACACACCAGCAGCAACGTACAAGATTGGGGATTCCATCTTGTCAAAGCAAGTGCGGCAAACGAAGCTATGAGCACGGGAACAATAAAAATAAATCCAGGTGTAGAAATGCACTGGGGTCACCAGTTAGCAGTGGCGAGCGTGGCAGTAGAGAAGAAAGAAAGGAATCGCATTTTAACAGATACCGTATAGGAAATGAACGTAGTCGCAGGTTTACCGAGCAAAAACAAGAATAAGAGGAAGGAAGAGAGTGGCTGAGAGGCTCACCTATTATTTATTGTGTTTTTACGAGAAAAGACATCGTATTGAAAAAAAAATAATAAAAAATAAATAAATAAAAACAATTCAACAATATGTTCATGTATACGGCTCCACCTCCCTAGTATATAAATATTCATTCAACCCTCCAGAAATAGAATATGACTTAGGTTTTATGAAACTTTTATTAGAAAGTTTCCTTTTTAGATTCTTATTATCTTTTTATCTATTATTCTAGTGTCCTTACAAATAATTATTATAAAGGTCAAGGTATAGACCTTTTCTGCTTCTCCTTCCCACCCGTTGGGCCACGGTCCATGGCTTTTTTATTTGAAAATTTTGCGGCTCTACAAGATGAGGTGTGCATACACAAAAGCAGTACTGTCTTTTAAAATTATACATTTATCACTATTTTTTCCCTTAGGCCGAACGAGTGGACAGTTATATGCACACATTGTCGTTGAAAAGTGACACACCCAGGCCGCATTTGGCTTGCTTCGGCACCTGGGTGTTGTATCACACGTTGCGCGTTATGGTCATGTATTTACTTAGTGGCTTCGAGCTCGAGCTCTATTCGGTTCACGAGTATCATTATATATATTGGTATCTGTTCGAGTTCCTATATAACTGGCTCATATCTGCCATCACGAGAGCAGATTCGTTTATAATAGAGCAAGACATTCATCTAGAAAATCAAAAGAGCAGGAGCGCCAAGAAAAGTGCAAAGAACAAAAAGAAAAAGGCAACGCCTAAGCCAAACTACTTGGAAATATTGATGTATCAAGCCATGCAAAATATTTGTGGAGGTTTTTATAAGGTATTGGAATCGTTGAAAACGTAAGGTTTTCTTCAATAAAATAATTCAGTATTTTCACTACAGGCATTAGTTGGTTTTCGAATGGATGGCAAGATACCCTTACCTGATAGCCAATTCGACTGCGAACGAGTTCGATATGAACACCGTCTGTTACCGTTTTCATCTTTGCTAACGCCACCGCCAATTCAATACAAAAAGTTCATAGAAATGACAAATGTGCAAATAAAAAAATACGTAAGTTACCCTAACTGTTTAGTCAATGAATCCGGTTTATTGACCATTTTATTAAAGTACTTGGTATTACTTGGAATTTCAGGAAAAAGGTAGTAGCGAAGAGCAATACTTCGATGGTTGCCGGCATTTCAATCAAGCTAAAAATTTATTGGAACGCGCATTAGAGCTCAATCCACCGTGACTTTCCCATCTA